CATAAGATTATCAGCTGATTTCTCAAAAGAAATTTTGCACGCAAGAAGGGACTAGCACAAATTATTCAAAGTGATGAAAAGCAAGGACCTACATCCAAGATTACTTTATCCAGCAAAGCTATCATTTAGAAAGGAAGAACGGATAAGTTGCTTCCCAGACAAGGTAAAATTAATGGAGTTCATCACTACTAAGCAATTACTACAGGAAATGTTAAAGGGACTTATTTAAGAAAAAGAAGGAGATCAAAACTATGAGCATTAAAAAGGCAACAAATTCACACTATCAACAACTGAATTTAAAAACTATTATAAAGCAACCTTATTACTTTTTGGTTCTTCATAGCATCTTAATATCACTTGTGTAAGTTGGTATTTGTGAAGCTGGTTTGAAAAAAATTCTTTTCCTTGTATGTTTAACTTTGTGCCATTCAACAAAGATAGTGATACTGGTTGTATTTCCAGTTGGACGTGTGCCTTTGGATTTTTAAACTACTGCTTGTCCTGGATTTGAAGTGACCTTTCCATGTTCTTGTGTTTACCACATCTCCTGGTTTATTTTCTTAAATTGTTTTTTAAAAAGGTTGAAGACTACATTCCTCAAAAGTCAAAATAAATTTCCTCATACAGCAAAAAAAAAACCCAAAACACAAAAAACAACCCCCCCCAAAAAACAAACAAAAATCACAAAAAACTAAGGAAACAATCACAACAGAAACAGAATAATAACAGAAACAGAATAATAGATAAAGAGATCATTTGGAGGATTATCTGCTGGGAGGAGGAAGGGAGAGAATGGGGAAAAGGTACAGAAAAAAGAAGCGTAATTGGTAGGAACAAAATAGACAGGGGGAACTTAAGAAGAGCATAGGAAATGAGAAGCCAAAGAACTTACACACACGATCTGTGGACATGAACAAAAGGGGAGACTGCTGGAGGGAATGGGGCTACTGGGTGGGGGGGCAAAGGGGAAAAATTGGGACAATCGTTAATAGCATAATCAATAAAATATACTTAAAAAATTAATTCAGTTCCTCAGTCATACTAGCCATGTGTCAAGTGCTCAACAGCCACCGGTGGCTAGTGGTTACTGCTTTGGACAGCACACATACAGACTATTTTCACTATTTCAGAAAATTCTATTGGGCAGTGCTGGTCTCATTGTTTATGTTCAAACTTCTTACTTACAGAATCTTTTCTGTCTAAATTTCTAGTGTCTGCTGACCACATGATTCTGACAGGCTCTCACTCTGTATCATCTGGGGAAAATGAGTAATTGTTGTCTAGGTTATTTTATAAAACTCAAGCTAGCCTGTTTTGACACCTACAATGTAAATATTCTCTTTGTTTATAGGTAACAAAGCTACCATTAAAGCAGAGTCTTTATTTATTTACCTATACTGACAGGGTAAGTATTCATTCTACCAGGGCAGAGAGCTTGAGGGGAGTGTGGGCAGCTGAGAGATCCCCCAGTTTGAGTTATTAAAACCTCAAATAAACCTGAGTGGGGAAAAAGAAGAAAATGAAGAACAGAAAGAGAATATTAAGAATAATAATGCTCTATGACCAGGTTCCCTTGACTATATCCTTCCTACTGCCCTGCAGTGAGAACTAGCATTTCCTAGAAGACTGGGTCTATTTCCATTCTCTGGCTTCTTCAAGGAGGGACTTTTTAAAAAATTAATTTTTTTACTGTTGTTCAATTACAGTTGCCCCCATTTTCCCCCCATTACTCTCCCCCACGCTACCCACCCCCACCTCCCACATTCGATCCTCCCCCTCTTGTTGTCTCTGACCATGGGTCTTTTATACATGTTCTCAAATATGTACAGGGATTTTCCTGCACAGTGATTTCTCCCCAAATCACTCCTGGCCTCTCTTCACTCCTTTACTCACTTAGATAAGGTGACTTTTTTGAGTGATGAAGCTGGGAAGTATAAAATGAACTTCTCTGTGTCCAGGACTTTCCCTGTGGGGGTCCCTCATGACCAGCCTCACATGCACAGACCTCCCAGGAGAGTGGCTGAGAGGGAAGAGGGGAACTCTGCCTTGCATTGTGGGGTTCAGTTGTCAGGCACACTGGGGTCTCACATAAGTCTTGTCTTTAACCTCTGCTTCTATCAGTTATAAAGGCAAAATTTTGGTTTACATCTTTCATTCCTTGCCCTATTTCTCAGTTTCTTTAGACTTCAGGTAGGAAAGAGAAATTCTGTTTATTGGATGTTCCCACAGACTGCATAGTCCTGGTAAAGTGTTTTCTAAGGCTGCCTCATGCTTGATTTGGGCTGCACTTTTGCACTGGTCCCAGTTTAGCACGTGCCTGAACTCCAAAGTTGTAAGCATATCCAGCTAGATGTTTGTGTAGATTCTACTGCATGGTGAAAATGGGGCTGACAGAGGTTGACACAGTTTAAATTGAGGTTTGAAGGAAAATAAAATTTTTAATAGAAATAGAGGATAGAATACAAAAGCCTAGACCTGGGAAGCTCAAGAAATGTTCAGAAGGGGAGTGCAAAACTCCCTTCTGCAGGGTTCCTGCAGGGACATGAGAGAAAAGTCTACACTTGCAGGGTGTCCAATCTTTTGTCATCTCTGGACCACACTGAAAAAAGAGTTACTTTGGGCCACATACATTGTGACATAATCACAAAAAGTCTTATAATATTTTAAGTAAATTTACAATTTTGTGCTGGGCCGCATTCCCAGCGATCCTGAAAAGCATGTGGCCTGTGGGCTGCAGGTTGGACACCCCTGGTACAGAGATAGTGATTACCAATTGATAATCTTTCTCTTCACTTGAAAATCATTCAACATCTTTGCTCATCTTTTTTTTTATTGATGTGTAATTGACATGCAACATTATTAGTTTCAGGCGTACAACATAATGATTTGATATTTGTATATATCATGAAATGATCATCGCAATAAGTCTAGATAACATTCATTATTATACATAGTTACAAAAAATTTTGTGTGTGATGAGTCATGTAGTTTTAATTTGCATGTCCCCAAGTACTAATGATGTTGAATACCTTTTCATGTGCATAAGAACCATTCATACTGGGAATACCTTTAAGGGAGGAAATACCCACTTATAAAAGATAGAAACATGAAGGCAGCAGGTATGGATTATGGTGCTGTGTTTCCCTCTGACATGCTGAGGGAGGAATGGCAGCCTATTTGGGGACCTATCCGAATAATTCAGAAGGGACAACCCCTCTTGAGTAAAAGCAGATGTGGGTGGCAATGTGCCCCAATTCTCTGTTGGTTTCTCACAGTGAACTTGCTAAGGAGTTGCCTGTCTCTTCATTTTAAATCTTCTATGCAGATGTTGTTCATATCTGGTGTTCTCAGAGTAGACTTGGTTTTGGAGGCCACTGGGTTTTGTTGAACTGCTCCATGTTGATAATACCACCTCAGTCGTCATGTACCAAAGAAAATATGCCAAAGACTTTTTATTATCTTCATTCCTCCCAGAGAGAAGAAAGCTATCAGCAACTCCATTTAATGCATCTTTCCTTACCTATAAGGGCAGTATGATTGGGGGTGGACACAAGCACCAGCTTGATGGCGCTCCCAATGACCAAATCTGGGACAATTTGCAAGAAAATAAATAATTATAATAATATATTATGACCCACAGAATAAAATAAATATCTACAAGTTAATATCGAAATAAACACATAACTGAATACATAAAGACATGGGGGAGAAGGGACAGTGCTTCTTTATAGCAGAATTCCAATTGTTAAAACTGAAGGGACCTAATCAACAAAACAAACAAGCAAGCAAAATATAACCAGAGACATTGAAATAAAGAACAAACTGACAGTAACCAGAAGGGAGGGGGGAGGGGGATAACAGGGGAGAGAAGGGGAAGTGTCATCACAGAACATGTATAAAGGACCCATAGAAAAAGCCAAAGGGGGGTAGGTGGGGATGAGTGGGGCAGGGGAAATTGTTGGTGGGGAAATGGACACAACTATACTTGAACACCATTAAAAAATTTAAAAAAAACTGAAGGGAGTGATCAGAATAGAAAATGACTATGGCACATATCACACTGATGGACCATGGTTAGATACAGAAAGGACTGGGCTGAAATATGACATGAAATAGGATATTTGCAAAGTCTAAAAGTATCTCCCCACAAGATACTTCTTCATTACAAGGGGAAAAACAGGAACTGCAGTGGAGAAACCTAGCAGTGATCAAGGTCAACATAACCGGAAATGGGACGTGCTGACACCATATACACCTTGATATAATGCACTGAGAAGGGCACAAGAGCAGTTCTGTGATATTCCCTGCAGAAAACTTCATCCTAATCATGAGAAACCATCAGGCAGACTAACAGTGTGTTCTAGAGTCATTCTACCTCTGTTCAAACCTTGCTACCTTATTTATTAGATTATGTGATTTATTTATTATGTGATTTTTGGCAATCACTTCATTTCTCCTTGCCTCAGTTTTCTTATTTGTAAATTGGGGATAAAATGTAATACCTACTTCAAGGTGCCGTAATGAGGATTTAAAAGATTAGTACATGTTCCAGGCATATGTACGGTGCCTAGAACAGTGCCAGAGTAAGGACTATATTATTACCTGCAACTATCATTCAAGACCAGCAGAATCTTCTGCTCATTTTAGGGATATGTCTTTTTTATTTCTCCTTTCACTGTTCTGAAAGCTTTCTGATTGATACAGGTCTGTGCTGATTCCTTCTGCAACCTCCTGTTTGGCTCTAAAAGCATTTTTCCTCCACAAGTCACGATGTCAAGCCAAATCCAGTGCCACGGTCTGTTGCTTAAGAATAATCTACTTTTGAAAGAATCAGAATAATTGCTCTTTCAATTACCATTGCTACTGGGAGATGTCTGCACTGGAAAAACAGAGCTGATGTCACCAAAGAATCTTCTTATGCCAGTTTCCCTTATTTCCACCATGGGGTCCCGAATTTTCTGGGCTTGTGGGACCAATAGCTCTGATTGGTCTGGAAGGTGGTGGTGTGGATATGCCTCATAATAACCTGTCTGAGGCCTCACCCCATGTCACATTTTAGCATCTGTTTAGCCAATAAGACTGCAGCACACACACCAGCCTCATTCCCTGCTTGAGCCTTACCTTTGATGTCACAATCTGACCTGCAGATATTAATCTGGCCACAGTAGCTCATTAACCGGATGGCAAGGTCAAGAGAATCAGCACAGTAAGATGTGGAAGAGAACTGACCATCAACCCAAGATCAAAGCAGGGGATGGACCTAAAGCAGGTCAGTTCAAGGAACTGGGCTCAGCTTGGGAACGTGCCATGCCACACACTCTAGAGCTGTCAGAATTCCAGAGCTTCCAGGTGTTTGAGGACATTAGGTATTACATCAAAGAAGTGGGGGCCCAACTGGTAAAGAAAGTCAATGCCATCTTTCAGCTGGATATCACCAAAGATGGGAAAATTGTTCTGCAGTGGACCATTGATCTGAAGAACAGTTCTGGGGACATGTATCCAGGATCAGCCAGGCTCCCAGCAGATACCATCTTCACAATCCCAGAACATGTCTTTATGGAGTTGGTTTTGGGCAAAATAAACCCTCAGAAGGCTTTCCTTGCTGGCAAGTTCAAAGTTAGTGGCAAAGTTCTGCTTGGCCGGAAGTTGGAGAGGGTGTTCAAAGACTGGGCTAAATGTTAAACATGCAAAAATACCAAGAAAATGATCAATACCTCTCTCTGGTTATAATGTTGAGCAGAAATCATGCTTAAACTGAAGATTAAAAGAAAAAATATCCAATATTTTTACTCAAATTCTTCCTATTCAAGTTTGATTAATTTTCCTGCTAGTGTATAAATTTGCAGCAATGGTTGTAGAGCAGTAAAGAGTATTGGAATAGTGTATCACCTGAAATCTTTTTCTTTTCTCAGATTTATTTATACTGAAATATGCTAGGGTGAAAGCCACATGTAGAGAAATGCATGGTTTTGACAGTTGGATTTAAATGGTTTAATGATTGAGTTCCTGCCTGATTATTAGTTTTTCTGTTTTGTGCTTTGGGGAAATAGTGATGACCATCACTGAGTAAGTTTGCATTCCAGTTGGTAACTTGGTTCTCTGAGAAGACTAACACAGGGTTGCAGAATTGTAAAAGGGTGGGCTCAACAGTGGTGTGGGTGGAACAGGCAATAAAGATGATGGTGTATCATGGCTTCCAATGGATTCAACTTTGAGTGAGTTGGAGGTCTTGGAAGGTGTTCTAGGCCACTGTTTCTTAAACTGGAGTACACATCAGATCACCTGCAGGGCTGGTGAAAACCCAGAGTGCTGGGCCCCAATCAGATAGTCAACTCTGTAGGTCTGGGCTGGGGGGAATGTGCATTTCTAATAAGTTCCCAGGTAATGTTGATGGTAGCACCCTTGAACAACATCTGCCCTGGTTCATGCCGCAGCTTTCAGTATTGATCATAACTCTCTTATTCTAGACTAGTGAGATGTTGTCCTTATTTAAAGGATCTCCTGGGGACAGATTACATAGTCCTCTTCTGGGCCATTTCTGAAGTGTCAGGAGCTTGTGCAGTGAACATTTACAAAATTGAAGGTCATCCTGGGAGAGTCTCTCTCCTGGAATCCCTTTTCATATATTGGGAGGACTGGAATGAAGCTTGCTACCTGAGGTAACCTCCTCATCAGTGAGTATGTGTGTCATGTGTTCCTGTGTGATCTTTGTGTACCTTTATTTTGTAGGTTAAACATACACAGTGTGGACACTTTGAAACATACAAGGACGTTTTATTGAATTGGCCATGCTCAAACTCATTCTTACCTAATGATCCAGTTATTCCATTCTTAACTATTTTCCCCAAAAGGAAAGAAAGCATATTTGCAACTACAAAAATTTGTATGTGAATGTTCATGTCTGTCATAGCCCCAAACTGGGAATAAACCAAATCAACAGGTGAATGAATGAGCAAATTGTTGTGTGTTAGACCATGGAATATTACTCAGTAATAAAAAGAACTAATTATTGATATATGTGCAATAACACAATTGAGTATCAAAATAATTATGCAGAAAGAAGCCAGAGAAAACCAAGTACATACAATATGATTATATTCATGTAGCATACTAGAAAAGGCAAACCCTACTGACAGAAAGAAGATGAGTGGTTGCTAAGACATGGAAATGGGGAATGGGAAGGGAGGGAGTCTTTACAATGGCCATGAGGACTCTTGAGGTGATGGATGGATTCATTATCTTGATTGTGGTGACAGATTCATAGGTGTATATACAGGTCAAACAGCAAATTGTACACTATAGATACATACACAGTTTATTGTGTCAATGTAAGCTAAATAAGTCTGTTTTTAAAAGCTGCTGCCCTCTATTCAAAATGCAGACTTTTTAAATAGGATTTAAAATTCTACCCTCTCAGTACAAGGAATCCTCTGACTTCATTATGTGTCTGTCTTTCCAACCCCTTACTGATTTGGGTGGTTCTGCAGAGGCCTCCCTAAGTTGTCCGTGTCAGAAAGAGGCAGACTGAGGGTTCATTGCTAACAAAAATTTCATTCTCTCAGTGGGAAACAAAGAGAGCTTTTGTTCAATTGGCTCAGCTTCATGGTGCAGCATTGCTGAGGGTAGGTGGGGACATGTAGCACTCTCTGGTTCTTTTGCTCACCTGGGTCAGTCTGTAGGTGATCCACGTGCTATTCTTGCCATTGTCCCTGCAGGGCAGTGGTGGGGGTTTCAGAGGCTTTAGGCTGATTGTGTGTACCATCATGAATGCATACCTTGTCTTGTGCAGGCACTCCATTCAAGCTATATTTATGAGCATCAGGCAAGCCTTAGCAGGTGTTTGGGTTCTGTATTTAGGAAAAGCTTTCCTGAATGGTCCTGTTTGTGCAATGAGGGGCTTTTAGGGATTGGCCCTAAGACATAAATTGCTTACAGATGGATTAGAGGGTAGAGGGGGATGGGGAAAAGAGAGGGGTTACAGAGGGTCAATGCCTAGGCTGGCTTTTGACCAAAGGGAGACCCATCCCATAGGCTGACCAGCCATCCATTATGGCTTGGGACAAAAACATTACCCAAATCAATTAGATTACTGACTAAGGAATTTGGAACTAGGAAGCCAAGAGACAGCTACAAGTGAGCAGTGAGAATCGTGTCTGAAAGGCTGGGCTGCAGGCGGACGAAGGGAGGTGCTATAGGGATTGATGGGCAGCCAGTGCAATAGGAGCTGGAGAGAAGAAAGAGCAGCAGCCTTGAATAAGGAGAGGGAGCTGGTTGATTAAGTGAGGCAAGAGGCCAGACCTTGGGACACATGGCAGCAAAGCCCTTTCCAATGAAAAGGATCAAATAACTTTAATGTGGAATGTCATGTGGAATGATTGGAAGGACTCAGATTATGGAATCAGAAATGGAGTTTTGAGCCTGGTGTCAGCACTTCACATCCAGGTAATTACAGACAATTGTGGAGCCACTCTGCAACTCATCTACCTTGCCTGGAAATGGGGCCAGTGGCCCTTATGACATCAAGTTGTTGGGGAGCACCAGGAAGGTCAGGCCTGGCATAGTCAATTGTTTTTCCATGTATGTAATTTCCCTTTCTCTTCTGGATGAAAGTGGGAACTGTCACCTGCTCCTTATTATCTCTTGAAAAAACCACACTTGGCTTTCACACTGTTCAGAGACCTTCTGCCTTTTCTCTTATACTCAGTTGATGCCCTAGAAGGTCACATATGGCTCAAAACACACATATCTGAGTTGCTTGGTCTGCCTAGAAAAGTATATAGTTTGGAAGAAGACTTTTTGAAAAAGAATTGGACTTGAGATTCCAATTTGTTGCCTGCACCAGTGTTTCATTTGTTTTTATTGCTGAGTAGTATTCCATGGTATCAATGAATCACAATTTGTATAATAATTCACTCATTGAAAAGCATCTGGGTAATTTCCAGTTTGAGTCTATTATAAATTAAGCTGACTTGTATATTCACATACAGGTATCTGTGTGAACATAAGTTTTCATTTCTCTAAATACATGACCAAGACTGTAATTCCTAAATTGGGGTCATATGCTAGTTGCATCTCAACTTATAAGAAATGGCCAACTTGTTTTCCAGAGTGTACCATTTTATATGCCCAAAAAACAATGTATGAGTGATTCAGTTTCTCTTATTTTCACCATTTGTTGTTCCCAATATTTATTGTTGTAGCCATTCAGATAGGTGTGTACTAATTTCTCATTATAGTTTTAATTTGCATTTCCCAATTGGCCAATGATGTTTGATATCTTTTACATGTTTATTTTCTGTCTGTATATATTCTTCAGCGAAATGTCTGTTCATATCTTTTGCCCATTGTCCAATTGCTTTTTTAAAAAACAACATCCAAACTACAGTCTCTTTGTCAGACTAAAAAAAAAAGAAAGAATTGGATTTCTAGGTTCTCTCAAAAAATTGGATTATTGGGCCACACTGAGCTTATATTCTTCAAAAAAGCAAAAATTAGGCTCAGAAGACAGGGAGTGGGGTCGGTTTCCAGACAGGCCCACCCCACCTTCCATGCTGCCTCTTTGACTCTCAGACTGGGTCCTGGAGGCCCTCCATCAGTGAGCTTACATTGTTGTTTCTCTAGCTGGGCCTACTTTGCTGGACCCCATAGATGTTTGCATGCATGACCACAGCTCCCCCCCAATAAATGATCTTATTCTTCCCCATAACTCAAATATTCTGTGTTAGTTTTCTATTGCTGTGCAACAAATTACCACAAATTTAGTCCCTTAAAACAGCACCTGTTCATTGTCTTCCTGTTGCTGCAGGTCAGAAATCAGGGTAGGTTCAGCTGGGTTCTCTGCTTTGATCCCATGTAACAGCCTGAAACCAAGGTGTTGGCCCGGCTGGACTGTCATCTGAGGGACCAGGGGAAGAATCTGTTCCAAGCTAGTTTGGGTTGTGGCCTAATTTAGTTCCTTGGGGTGGTAGGACTGAGGTCCCTATTTCCTCATTGGTTATCAGCCAAAGATGCTCTTAGCTCCTGTAAACCTCCCACATTCCTGGTCATGTGGCTCTTCTACCTGCAAAACCAGCAATGGCTTATGGGTCCCTTCTTGGGCTTCTAATCTCTCTGAGCTCCTCTGCCTTCATCTTCTGCCTCTACTTGAAAAGACTTGACTGATTACATTGGGCCCAGTCAGATAATCTAGGATGATCTCCCTATATTAATGTCAAATGATTAGTGAATTTACTTATATCTGCAAAGTCCCTTTTGCCCTGTAAGGTAATGAATGCTATGGACTGAATAATTATGCCTCTCCACCCAAATTCATATGAACTTTCTTTCTTCACCATGTGAAGATAAAGCAAGAAGGTGCCAACTACAGACCAAGAAGAGAGCTCTCACCAGAACCTGACCATGCCAGTACCCTGATCTCAGACTTGCAGACTCCAGAGTTGGAGAAATAAATGCATATTGTATAAAATACAAGGTCTACAGTATTTTGTTATAGCAGCATGTGCTAAAACAAGAAATGCATTCATGGGTATGATTTATCATCATATACTTAGTCCTGGGGTTTGGGTGTAGGATCCTCTTGGGGGCCTTAATTCTACCTAGCATCCCTTCCTGAATCTTATATCTAAATCCCACCTACCCATTAGGTCCTCCTTCACAAAGCTCCCCTGTTCAGTTGAAATCTT